CTGCTTCTTGGTCCATGTACAGATTCTCATGAGCACAATTAAGTGTTCAGGAAGACTCAAACTTTGCAATGTTGTCCATAGCTTGTCATGATTCACACAACTGGAAGCCTCTGCATAGTCAACAAAGCACAGGTAAACATTTTTCTGATATTCTCTGCTTTCAGCTAAGATCCATCGGACATCAGCAATGATATCCCTCGTTCCAAGTCCTCTTCTGAATCTGGCTTGAATCTCTGGAAGTTCTCTGTCAATGTATGCTTACAGCTGTTTCTGTATTACCTTTAGAAAAACTTTACTTACAAGGGGTATCAAAGAAATTGTCCGATGATTTCTGCATTCCATTGGGTCATCTCTCTTTGAAATGGGCACAAATACGGATCTCTTCCCATCAGTTGGCCAGATGGTTGTCTTTAAATTTCTTGGTTATAGATGAGTGAGTGCCAATCTTTATTGCAATGAGATTAATTCCTATTCCCTTCCCCATGGACTTTTTTTTTTTTTTAATCCTTTTATTATTGAGTGAAAGTTTACAGAGCAGATCATCAGTTTTACATTCCTAAATCTTATACTTTGCTTCATTATAATGACTGTAATCCCTTCCATATAGCAACAGTTAACAGAGTTTACCTCTATTCATTAACTACTGCATTCCTCCCTCTGTCTCCCACTGCCTTATCTTTCCTCTGCTAACCTCCCTCTCTAATGCCTGCCCCGTGTCACCATGTTAACATTCGTCTACCCTCTAGCCTGTGAACAATTTTCCCTCCCTCCTTCCCCCATAAACCTATGGAGTTTCTGAAGCTGCTCTCAACTTACATGTCCCCTGAGAATCTTTTTCTTTCTAAATGACAGCTGGGACCTTACTGTCTAAAGTAGAGAGTAATTGAAGAGCAACTCTGACTTCACATAGAACAAGCAGGAATGAAAGGAACAAAGGGAGAAGGAAAAAGTGCTCTGGCAGTACTATCATCACTAATTCTGAGTCCCATAACTCACCTCCAGGATAGGATGGGGCTCCTCCTGCCTGGGGGGCACCGGGATAACCTCCAGGGGCAGGGTAACCTCCAGGGGCAGGGTAACCTCCAGCTCCTGGGTAGCCACCACTTGGTGCTGGTGGGTAAGCACCTCCTCCCATAGGAGGAAAGCCACTAGGATAAGGATACTGACCCGGAGGGGGAAACGATGACTCCTGACCTGCAGGCTGAAAATCGGAAACATTTTCAAATGTATGTGATCGTAGAGAAATATAACCCACCAAAAACAGGAATACAATGGTAACTGTTTATAAATGATCAATCACTAGTTTGTCAGGACACCTGTTTGTCAAAACTTAGTTAAAATTATTTATACTTAGCACAGACAAGAGGCCTCGATGTTTCCATTCTTCCAAACTTAAAGGTTTATAACAATCCTGTTATGAAGGTTTGTAACAAAATTTGTTCTTTTAGTTTCTTGGCATCTGGAAATATGAAAAAGCTATTCCTCTATACCCTAAAGAGAGAAATTCATGGCTCTCCTGTTAACACACCCGAAACTATAGCATGTTGTTGTTATTAAGTGTCACTGTATTGGTGCCCACCCACAGCAACCCTATAGAGAGTTTTCAAGGAGCAGCTGGTGGGTCTGAACTGCTGACCTTCCGGTTAGCAGTCCAGTGCTGATCCTACAGTGCCACACAAGAACTCCATAATAAAGGGAAATTAAAAAAAAGGTAACCTTAATCACATACAGAAAGTGGCTTTTTGGGCATGAAACTGTTTCTAGACCTCAGATCAGACAAGATGAGGTCTACATGTGGCAGACATTGTTTTAGTATTCAACACACACTTCCTTGTCAGGCACAAAGCTCGACTACATTTCCCAGGCCCCCACACAGGTAACACCACATGACTGGGGAATACATGTGGATAGAAGATGCCGCTTCCAGTCTGGCTCATAGGATCTTCTGCCCAAGTCTCCATACTCATTTTTTTCTTTTCTTTCATCTGCCATCAAGGACAGAGGGTCTAATACAAGATTCCAAGGCACTAAAAGTAGGGAATCCTGGTGTGTTGCTGTGGGTTAATGTGATGGACTGCGAAGTCTGAACTGCAGGGTTGGCAGTTCAAGCTGACCAGTCGCTCCTTGGAAACCCTAGACAGGGTTACCATGGGTCAGAACCGACTCAACAGCACTTACAACAACACCAACAACAAAGGATGGTAGAGTCAATACGTGGAAAGAGCCTAGAGCCTTAAAGGTTGCATGGAACAAGCATCCTCCTGCCTTACCCCTACCCTGACCCACCATTAACTTCCAGGATACGGAAGCAAGCAAGAAATAGATTTTTATTAAACCACTGAGACTGTGGGGTTGTCTTCCTTGGTGTGGCACATAAAGTAAACACTGGGCTGCTAACCGTAAGATAGGTGGTTCAAGCCCACCAGCTGCTCCTCAGAAAGCCTATATGGGGTCGATAAACTTTGGAATCAACTCAACAACACCTAACAACCACCCTACCTGAAACGGTTACCTTTGGGGACTCTGGAACATACTCGCAATTCTAATTTTGCCTATGATAAATTCAGGAGAGCTACCTATTCACTTTACATTAAGATACATACATTATCATTAACCTGCACATGGCTCTCTTTCTGTTTCCCCAGAGATAGAAAGCAGCTCTAAAAATCTGTAAGACATAAAACTGAAACGAGTAATTCTGACTAATGTTCTCAGACCTCATAGCAGTACAGTAAATTAAAACTTAATTGTTACCTTTATTAAATGTACTCCAAATACTGAAATTCTCAGAACTACAAATCCAGGGCCTGAGAATCTATTGGAATTTGTGATCTGAATCAAGTCCTATGAAACGGATTTTAAACCTTCCAACACAAAGTTTAACAACAGTGACATGCTGCATGGCCCATACAGCAACGTTTTTCCTAAATTTTCAATTTTAAAAATCTGTGCAATGTCACATAGAATCCAGATTTCTGGCTTGAAGAACTGCAATATTTAGCAACAACACTAGGTCCGCCTCCCTGTGAGGCCATGCCTGCTTACAGCTAAGTCATTCCTGATTCTCCACAGATGAGGGGAGGGCTCTCCGGTTCCTTCCACCTTCACTCATTTATTGTACTCAGTCTCCGGGCAGTTGAGTTTATGAGCTAGTTCTCTACAACAACCATTCCAAGGATAGTTAAGAGTATGATACATGGTGATACTTACAGGATATCCGGGGAACGGTGGGTAGCCTGTTGGGGGATAGCCTGGGTATGACATTCTGTAACAACAAAAATGTCCTCTGTAATTTCTGGTAAGGGTTGAGGCCTTTGAAGACATATATAACATATTATATAAAATAGACCTTCTTTCAAAAGAGTCTAAAGACATTCACATGTAGATATTAGCTTATAAAATGTTTCTTCATGTTACCATTTCACTGTGTGCACCAGTGAGGTCAACATAACATACTAAAAGTTCAACCTTCATTCTCCTCATGCCATACAATTCTTGCCATATCTGAACACGGCCACTGCTATTATTTAAGGAATATTTTAAGTCATTTTTTTTCTAAAATATATTTTTTAATTATGTTTTATATCACTTCCATAAATAGAAGTTTGCAGTTTATTGCCATAAAATAGAAGGTAATTTAAAAATGAATACATGGAGGATCAGAACTCAATTAGAGGAAGATTAAAAAAAATTTTTTGATAAAGAAAACAAGTATAAATCGCTACAATTTGATGAACTTGACCTATACTTAGTAAATACCATGCAAAATGGAAGGAATCGTCACAGTAAGGATCCTCCCCATTCCCTCTGTACACAGGGTTGAGAAACTTAAGACACTGGATACCTAAAATGGGGGGCTATGAAGGCACAAAGTAACTGGCTTACAAATTTTCAAAAGGGAGTTTAGTTTCAGAGTATGCAGGAGACGGTAGAATCCCCACTGAGTGGTTTTCATCCTGTCTAGACGGGTCTGGTGAAAGGAGATGGGGATAAGATTCTTATGATTCAATAATCAGTCACTGTTACCATGACTAATTGCGAATGTCACATCTGTATAGGTAGAAGTTTTGCAGCAAAATTGGGGGAGTGGTTGATCTTACAGCCCAGGAATGGAGGACCCTGGGGCCATCAAGGGAGAAGAGTGGGAGCAGAATGTGGGACCCTATCCAGAGAAGAGGCGATGTTAGAGATGGAGGAAGAGATGATGACATGGAGAGACGGAGCAGGTGAGGATTCTAGACTCAAGGAGGGAGAGGGACTGTGTGCTAGCGGCTGGAGGGCAGGCTTGCAGGGTGTGCCCTTTGGTTGTTTTAATGATGGTATATTCCTGAGTGTTTTGATGTACATCCAAAATGGGAAAAAAAAAGGAGGAAACAGAAGCAAATACTGTTGAATACATGAATGGGATTGTAATATGATCAGATGAGTGTAAAACTGATATTCTTCCATGTAAACTATCTCTATTCACAATAAAAACTTAAAAAAAAAAAAAAAAAGAATACAGGACTATTAAAATGAATGATGCTTTCCAGGTGCCACAAATCCCCTCATACGGTAATAGAAACATATATTGGGAAACAGCGATAGGTATACTGGTTAATCTCTTTTTATCTTACAAGAGACAAAAATAAGAAATGAGAGAGAGGGATTTCAGTACTACCAAGAAAGAAGACAGGAGTAGGGCATGTTCTTTGGATCCAGAATCCCTGCACTGTTAACCTCCTAGACCCAAGGGAAGACTGATGCCAAGAAACATGGAGATCTTCAAGGGATGTCAACCCCACACACATTAAAGAGGACACAAGGATTTTCCCCTAGAGCTGCCACCCTGAATCCGAACTTCTAGCCTCCTAACTGTGAGAGAGAAAATTTCTCGTTGTTAAAGCCATCCATTTATAGTGGTTCTGTTATAGTAGTTCTACATACATACGACAACCAGTTTCAAAATAATGAATTGGTTACCTAGAATACAAAAGGATCAAAGAATTTTGTAAGTATCATTACGACCCTGTATAGGGTTTCTGAGGAGCAGTAGATGGGTCTGAACTGCCAACGATGTGGTTAACAGTCCAGTGCTTATCCTACAATGCCACACCAGGACTCTTGTCTATTAACCATACAGCGGCACATGAAGATTTCTTTGCAGTTTTCTCAGCAGCAGGGTATAGGCTTCTGCTGGTATTTTCTGATACCTCTGGATGAAGTTACACAAACTATCATTCTTACTGATGTTCAATTTATTCCAACTTTGACCAAAGGAAGCATTTTTACATTGGCCGTTGAGTTGTTCTGACACAATCTGCTGTCTGATGGTCCAAGCTCATCTTGTAGATTTTTTTGCCCCAGAGTTGGAACTACTTTCCAAGGAGTCCTGATCACTTTCAGTGGGAAATGATGTTTGGTGACTACAACCTGGGTACTAAAAGTGCTCATTGCTCAGTTGATTATTGTTTGTAGATCTTTTCAGTGGGACAGAAATTACTCCCCGCTGTCCCCAAGTGATACTGACATTTCCAATCAAATTTATGATTACAGGGTTTTTTTATTGACTTGATTCAATTTATCATTATATATTTTTTCCCTTATAAATTACTGTGTTTAAAATACATTTAAAAATAATTCCTGTACATATATGCTAGCGTAGTGGCTACGAATCGGGCTGCGAACCTTAAGGTCAGCGGTTCGAAACTACCAGCCGCTCCGCGGGAGAAAGATGAGGCTTTCTACTCCCGTAAAGATTTACACCCTCGGAAACCCTGTACAGGGTCGCTACGGGTTGGAACCGACTCGACGGCACTTAACAACAACAACATATATGCTACCAAATGATATATATTTGGTATATTTGTTTCATTTTACTTTTGGTTTTTAAGGGTACTTTCAATTTAGTTTTGTTCTGTAGTTATGCAAAACTTTTTTTAGTTCCAAAGTCAAATTGTAAAAAAATTCTATGTTTTCAAAAGTATTGGCTTGTGTCCCTGTCATTTTTTTCATCCTATTATTTTTATGGAAGCCAGTATTTTTATGTCAGATAAAATTTAGTCAACCACACACAAGTATATGTAGACCTTGTTGGGGGTTTTTGTCTTATTTTGACAATTATTTGTACAACTGCATAATATTCACCATGTAAATGTTCCATGATTTATTTTAATAGCTGAAATTTGAGTTGCTTCTATTATGACAATAGTGCTGACAATAAACAGCTTCATGCAGATACTTTTCTGTCGTATTTTTTGTCCTAGCATGAAATCTGCAAGTGCAGAACTTAACAGCACTACCATGCTTTTCCAGAGGGTCCCACAAGTTTTGCACCTTTGCAGGGTTCAGTCTTAACTTTTCTAATGTCCTCTTCAGTATAAAATATTTGAGTTTTCCTTCTCTGACACGTTTCCAGCTTACAAAGATTCCAGCTTTCCCAGGTGTTACTATATTACCTTGGAGATAAATTACTAGAAATAGCATTGATAAGACTAAGGATGAATATATATGCAGTTTATCAATAGACTGCCAAATTCCCCTGCAGGGGCCGTGCCAGTTTGTATATTCACCTGGAATTTCACGCTTAGATCCAGCTGTGTGGATGTAAGACACGTTATGTAAACTCTTTGGACAAGTTACTTAGCCGTAGTTTTTCCATCTATAAAGTGGGAAATGAAAATATTTACTTCATGAGGTTGCTGTAAGGATTAAGATAAAGAATACCTGTAATTTTTTTTTTTTTTTTAAAGAAAACAAGTGTAAATCACTACAATCTGATGAACTTGGCCTATACTTATGGATGTAGTAGCTTAAAATACCAACCAAGAGGAAAAATCTTTAGAGCAAGGATTATTCCCATCCCTCTGATACAGGGTTAATAGGGATGGGCAACTTAAGACACTGGCTACCTAAAATGGGGGTCAGTTAAGGCACAAAGTGACTGGCTTACAAATTTCCAAGAGGGAGTTTAGATTCACAGTGTGCGGGGAAGGCTGAATCCCCACTGAGTGGTTTTCATCCTGTCTAGACAGGTCTGGTGAAAGGAGATGGACACAAGACTCTCATGATTCAATACTAATTGCTATCATGACTAATTGTGATTAGTCACAACTGTAAAGGTAGACGTTTGTAGCCAAAAGAAGTGAGTGGGCAATCTTACAGTCCTGGAGCGGAGGACCCTGAGATCATCAAGGGAGAAGAGCAGGAGCAGAATGTGGGACCCTACCAGAGAAGCAGCAATGCCAGAGATGGAGGCAGAGATGATGACAAGGAGAGACAGAGTAGCTGAGGATTCCAGACTCAGACAAGGAGAGGGGAAGTATGCATAGGCAGTCAGCGGCAGAGTGTGCCCTTTGGCTGTTTGAATGATTTTATATTCCTGAGTGTTTTGATGCACATCCAAAAAAAAAAAAACACAGAGGGAATAGAAGCAATGCTGCTGAATGATGAAGTATGCAGGGGATTGTAACCATTGCAATGAAACTAATTGATGTTCCCCCATGTACACTATCACTCAATTCACAGTAAAAACTTAAAAAAAAAACAAACACATAAAGCATTTAGCACAATACCTACAAATTCAGTTAATGACTATTAACTGCTATAATGAGAAGGGATTGTCACATATCATTTATTTACCATCTACAGAGTAAAAGAATAATCAAAAGTTCAAACTAGGCTTTAACTTTAAAAGGTGCCAGACAGATTGACAGGAAGTGGAACACTGTCATGTACCAGGCGAAAGGTGGTATATAATTATGAGATGAATGATCACTAAAATAGAATGAGAGGGGGGTAAGACAGAAGCCAATTAGGAGGTGTTCAGTATTGGTATGGAATTAAATACTCATCAATCTCTACCAGGCCACTCCTAAGATTTCCCATCTGTCAAGAGCACCACTCCTTGAATTACTCATTACTCCAGTGCAGTAAGTAACCTAATATTTTTCTATTCTTCCTTTGACATGTCTCTCCTATTCTTGTTATTTCCATTCTCATGGCTATAACCTGAGACCCGGTTTGTACCACTTGATGCCTATCTTACTGAAAGTACTTCCCTATGTATGCCCTTGCTTACATTCTCTCACCCTAATATTCCTAAGTACAATCACTAGATGAACTCCCCTAAAATGCTGCTGTTTTATGATAGATACTATTTTCAGTTCAAAAATCTTCAATGACTCCTGCTGGAGTATCAAAAGCAAATTCATCAGCTTGACATTCAGGATTTCTTAGTATTGGTCCCAATTCATCTAGTCAACTTATCTCTTGCCAAGCCCTATC